CTTGAGAGTTTTGTGAGAGAACGGTCGAGAAGGTTCTACGAGGGGGGCGTGTCCGGAGGCGGAGCTTTGAGTGTTTGTGTGAGAATGGTCGAGAAGGTTCTACGAGGGCGGCGTGTCCGGAGGCGGAGCTTGAGAGTTTTGTGAGAGAACAGTCGAGAAGGTTCTGCGAGGGGGGCGTGTCCGGAGGCGGAGCTTGAGAGTTTGTGCGAGAGAACAGTCGAGAAGGTTCTACGAGGGGGGCGTGTCCGGAGGCGGAGCTTGAGAGTTTTGTGAGAGAACGGTCGAGAAGGTTCTGCGAGGGGGGCGTGTCCGGAGGCGGAGCTTGAGAATTTGTGCGAGAACGGTCGAGAAGGTTCTGCGAGGGGGCGTGTCCGGAGGCGGAGCTTGAGAGTTTTGTAAGAGAACAGTCGAGAAGGTTCTACGAGGGGGCGTGTCCGGAGGCGGAGCTTGAGAGCTACGTGAGAGAACGGTCGAGAAGGTTCTACGAGGGGGCGTGTCCGGAGGCGGAGCTTGAAAGTTCGTGCGAGAACAGTTGAGAAGGTTCTACGAGGGGGCGTGTCCGGAGGCGGAGCTTGAGAGTTTTGTGCGGAACGGTCGAGAAGGTTCTAGGAGGGGGCGTGTCTGGAGGCGGAGCTTAAGAGTACGTGCGAGAACGGTCGAGAAGGTTCTTCGAGGGGGCGTGTCCGGAGGCGGAGCTTGAGAGTTTTGTGAGAGAACGGTCGAGAAGGTTCTACGAGGGGGCGTGTCCGCAGGCGGAGCTTGAGAGTTTTGTGAGAGAACGGTCGAGAAGGTTCTACGAGGGGGCGTGTCCGGAGGCGGAGCTTGAGAGTTTTGTGAGAGAACAGTCGAGAAGGTTCTACGAGGGGGGCGTGTCCGGAGGCGGAGCTTGAGAGTTTTGTGAGAGAATTGTCGAGAAGGTTCCGCGAGGGGGCGTGTCCGGACGCGGAGCTTGAGAGTTTCGTGAGAGAACGGTCGAGAAGGTTCTGCAAGGGGGCGTGTTCGTAGGCGGAGCTTGAGAGTTTTGTGAGAGAACAGTCGAGAAGGTTCTGCGAGGGGGGCGTGTCCGGAGGCGGAGCTTGAGAGTTTGTGCGAGAACGGTCGAGAAGGTTCTACGAGGGGGCGTGTCCGGAGGCGGAGCTTGAGAGTTTTGTGAGAGAACTGTCGAGAAGGTTCTATGAGGGGTGGTGTCCGGAGGCGGAGCTTGAGAGTTTTGTGAGAGAACGGTCGAGAAGGTTCTACGAGGTGGCGTGTCCAGAGGCGGAGCTTGAGAGTTTGTGAGGGAACGGTCGAGAAGGTTCTGCGAGGGGGGCGTGTCCGGAGGCGGAGCTTGAGAGTTTTGTGAGAGAACGGTCGAGAAGGTTCTTCGAGGGGGCGTGTCCGGAGGCGGAGCTTGAGTGTTTGTGGGAGAACGGTCGAGAAGTTTCTACAAGGGAGCGTGTCCAGAGGCGGAGCTTGAGAGTTTGTGAGGGAACGGTCGAGAAGGTTCTATGAGGGGGCGTGTCCGGAGGCGGAGCTTGAGAGTTTTGTGAGAGAACAGTCGAGAAGGTTCTACGAGGGGTGGTGTCCGGAGGCGGAGCTTGAGAGTTTTGTGAGAGAACGGTCGAGAAGGTTCTACAACGGGTCGTGTCCGGAGGCGGAGCTTGAGAGTTTTGTGAGAGAACGGTCGAGAAGGTTCTACGAGGGGGGCGTGTCCGGAGGCGGAGCTTGAGAGTTTTGTGAGAGAACGGTCGAGAAGGTTCTACAAGGGGGCGTGTCTGGAGGCGGAGCTTGAGAGTTTTGTGCGAGAATGGTCGAGAAGGTTCTACGAGGGGGCGTGTCCGGAGGCGGAGCTTGAGAGTTTGTGTGAGAACGGTCGAGAAGGTTCTACGAGGGGGCGTGTCCGGAGGCGGAGCTTGAGAGTTTTGTGAGAGAACGGTCGAGAAGGTTCTACAAGGGGGCGTGTCCGGAGGCAGAGCTTGAGAGTTTTGTGCGAGAACGGTCGAGAAGGTTCTACGAGGGGGCGTGTCCGGAGGTGGAGCTTGAGAGTTTTGTGAGGGAACGGTCGGGAAGATTCTACGAGGGGGCGTGTCTGGAGGCGGAGCTTGAGAGTTTTGTGCGAGAACGGTCGAGAAGGTTCTACGAGGGGGCGTGTCCGGAGGCGGAGCTTGAGAGTACGTGCGGGAGACCGATCAAGGAGGCGGAGCTTGCTCCGCCGAGGAGATTGTGATGGGAGGCAGTGAGAGGCCGTTTGGTCGGCGTGGGAAGCCTGGAGCCCCGCACTGCGTCATCGCCACCGGCAACGTGGCGGTCCTTCCAGGCGAAGCCGTCTCTCCTCCCGGCACGCCGTCAGCCCAGCGGTGGACAGGGAGCGAGAGGGAGAGACGCGCCTAGACCGTGGAGCAGAGAGGGCACGCGTCACGGCAGAGGAAGAGAGAGAGAGAGCGAGAGAGAGCGAGAGAGAGTGTGAGAGAGAGAGTGTGACTGAGAGAGATAGTGAGAGAGAGAGAGCGAGAGAGAGAGAGACAGAGAGCGAGAGAGAGAGAGAGCGAGAGAGAGAGTGAGAGAGAGTGAGAGAGAGAGAGAGCGAGAGAGAGAGAGTTAGAGAGAGAGCGAGAGAGAGAGAGAGAGTGAGAGAGAGCAATAGAGAGTGAGAGAATGAGAGAGAGAGTTAGAGAGAGAGAGTTAGAGAGAGAGAGAGAGAGCGAGAGAGAGTTAGAGAGAGAGAGAGAGCGAGAGAGAGAGAGAGCGAGAGACTCTTGACTTTGACTTTGAGAGAGCGAGAGGGAGAGAGAGAGCGATAGAGAGTGAGAGAATGAGAGAGAGAGTTAGAGAGAGAGAGTTAGAGAGAGAGAGTTAGAGAGAGAGAGAACGAGAGAGAGAGAGAGACAGAGACAGAGAGAGAGAGAGATAGAGAGTGAGAGAATGAGAGAGAGAGTTAGAGAGAGAGAGTGAGCGAGAGACTTTTGACTTTGACTTTGAGAGAGCGAGAGAGAGAGACAGAGAGCGGGGCAGTCCAATCACACAATAAAAGAAAGGTGCCAGACAGCAGTTGTCGTGGAAGTGATTCATTTCACTTTGACACTTCCAAAGAGGTATCACGTCACATAAGCTGCTGCTGCTGCTGCTCACCCCGAGTAGTGCGTGTTCTGACATGAGCTTGAGGCAGGTGTCTCTTTTTCACCGGTCGCCTTTTAGGCGTTGTTCTCCGGTCTGTGCGCTGGTAGTGAGGCTGGGCCACCAAGGGAGGCTGATGTCTACCGCTGTCGGCCGACGAGTTTTAATGACAATGGCCGTGTATTGCGATCAGAGTGTCTGCGTGTTCTCCGGTCTGTGTTTGCGTTGTTCTCCGGTCTGTGCACTGGTAGTGAGGCTGGGCCACCAAGGGAGGCTGATGTCTACCGCTGTCGGCCGACGAGTTTTAATGACAATGGCCGTGTATTGCGATCAGAGTGTCTGCGTGTTCTCCGGTCTGTGTTTGCGTTGTTCTCCGGTCTGTGCGCTGGTAGTGAGGCTGGGCCACCAAGGGAGGCTGATGTCTACCGCTGTCGGCCGACGAGTTTTAATGGCAATGGCCGTGTATTGCGATCAGAGTGTCTGAGTGTTCTCCGGTCTGTGTTTGCGTGTTCTCCGGTCTGTGCGCTGGTAGTGAGGCTGGGCCACCAAGGGAGGCTGATGTCTACCGCTGTCGGCCGACGAGTTTTAATGGCAATGGCCGTGTATTGCGATCAGAGTGTCTGCGTGTTCTCCGGTCTGTGTTTGCGTTGTTCTCCGGTCTGTGCACTGGTAGTGAGGCTGGGCCACCAAGGGAGGCTGATGTCTACCGCTGTCGGCCGACGAGTTTTAATGACAATGGCCGTGTATTGCGATCAGAGTGTCTGCGTGTTCTCCGGTCTGTGTTTGCGTTGTTCTCCGGTCTGTGCACTGGTAGTGAGGCTGGGCCACCAAGGGAGGCTGATGTCTACCGCTGTCGGCCGACGAGTTTTAATGACAATGGCCGTGTATTGCGATCAGAGTGTCTGCGTGTTCTCCCGGAGAGTGCTCTGTGTGGTCACAGTGCAGCAACTTGATCCCTTGCAAAAAAAGGGTTGAATTTTTGCGGCGTCCGGCACATCTTCAACTGAGCACCTCCCCCGTTGCGTTGCCAAACACGGTAAAGCAACGGAATTCTTATTTTTCACGGGGCACGGATTCGCTTAGAACGCCCTCGTGAAAGCTAGCGGCCGGTCGCAGCAACTTTGGCTTGTCCCCTTGGGGGGGGTGGAGGGGACCACATCCCGCTGAAATCTTTCCCATGCCGATGACGTGCATGTACGTCATCAGTATATGTTTCATTCCTACTACACGTTCCTATGACGCAAGTGTACGTCATTTGTTTTCTTTTGAATTACGCTCCTATGACGCGAGTGTACATCATCCATTTTTTTATTCCTATTACGTTTCTATGACGTAAGTGTACGTCCACCGCTTTTTTAATTCCTATTACGTTCCTATGACGTGCATGTACGTCATCCGTTTTCTTTCTATTGCGTTTCTATGACGTAAGTGTACGTCATCTGTTTTCTTTTTAATTACACTCCTATGACATAAATGTACGTCATCCGTTTTTCATTCCTTTTACGTTTATATGACCTAAGTGTACGTCATCCGTTTTTTTCCTATTACGTTTCCATGACGTAAGTGTACGTCATCCGTTTTTTTTATTCCTATTACGTTCCTATGACGTCAGTATACGTTATCCGTTTTTCCCATTACGTAAGTGTACATCATCAGCTTCTTTTTTGTTTTCAATTCTACGGGAGAAGGGGGAGGGCGTGGACAATGCAGACTGGACGATGTCTCGCATCTCTCTCCATCCCTCTCTCGCAATACTAACAACCCTCCTCCTCTCTCTCCCTACACCTACCTTCCCACCCACCCTCCCTCAATCCCTCCCTCCCACTTTCTCCCCCCTGATCCACCACCACCACCACCACCACCCACCCACCCTCACCCTCACCCTTACCCTCACCCTCACCCCGCAGGTCTCGGGAGTTGATTCGCGAGGCGATCCTGGACAACGACTTCATGAAGAACCTGGAGCTGTCGCAGATCCTCGAGGTGGTCGACTCCATGCACCCGGTGGAGTTTGCACGCGGCAGCTGCATCATCCGCGAGGGCGACGTGGGGTCGCTTGTCTACGTCATGGAGGGTGAGTGGCTGGCCGGGTGGCTGGGTTGTCGGAGCGAGGCAACGTCAGGCTTATGTGTACCCCTGTGCTTGATTCCCGCTCGAATGCCAACACCACCAGGCGGTGAACTGGTTAAGGTCGCCACTGGGGGAGACAAAGGCGGCCGGGCGTGGTGCTGGCCACCCACCCACCCTCCCCCTCTCGTGTGCTGTGCCAGCTTTCGCAGGTGCTCGCTGACAGCGCTTGGCCCCAACAGTCTGTTCAGGCTATCCGGGGGATAATCTTTGTCTTGTGTGAATGCGAACGTGTGAGCGTCTAGCAGTGAGTGTGTGTGTGGGTGTGAGTGAGTGAGAGCGAGTGTCAGTGATGGAGTGAGAGTGAGTGAGTGTGAGCGTTCACCAGTAAGAGAGTGAGTGTGAGCGAGTGTGAGTTGGGGAGCGGTGGTGCAGCGGTTAGCGCTACGCTGCGCTACGAACCCAACAACCCGGGTTCGATTCCCGCTCACGGCCAACACCAGCAGTGACGATTATCTGAACCGGTTCTGGGCCTCCCCTAGGTCGACTCAGCCTTAAATTAGTACCTGGTGCGGTGTGTAGTAAACATCGCCACTGGGGAGACAAAGGCGGTCGGGCGTGGTGCTGGCCACCCACCCCCTCGTGTGCCGTTACCGACCTTCATAGGTGCCGCTCGCTAACGGCACTTGCCCCTACAGTCTGTTACAGGCTACACGGGTGATATTTGTCTTGTGAGTGAGTCAGTGTGAGTGTGGGCGAGTGAGTGTGAGTGGGTGAATGTGAGTGAGTGTGGGTGAGTGGGACAGTCCACCATCAGTGTTTGTGTTTGTCTCTCTAGTGGGCAATGGAAACATCAACCCCCTACCTCCTGGTTGGTCTGCAGGACAGAAAAGCTGTGGTGACTGTGAGCAATGCCATGGAGGGAAGGCCAATTCCAATTTGCTGTTCCCCTCATTGCGATCGTAGCCACTACAGCAGCCATTGGGGGGGGGGTCTTTGGAGTGATTGGAAGGCATGGGCCAGATCAGCTCAATAACAACGGTATAGGAAGCTGCTAGATTTTTGTGCAGCCCATGGGCTTGTAATTACCAACACGCTGTTCCGGCATCGGCGGATCCACACGACATCACGGATGCACGCCGGGTCCAAGCAAGAACATCTGCTGGACTACGTAGTGACGGACCAGCGGAAGCGAGCCCATGTCCTGGACACCGGGATCTACCGTGGAGCTGATCTGCCCACTGACCATCGACTTGTCATCTGTAAGATGCGCCTGCCATTCTTCCACCCCGGTGGTGGGTGTACACCCAGGACCCCATTCAAACCCCGACAGGTAGCTGAGGATAGTTGCGAGCGAGGATCCCATCATCGCTTGCCGCTGGGATTAGCATTGTGCCCCCTGCCCTTCCCCTCGTCTTGATGCCGAGAGGGGGTGGGTGGGGGGTGGGCGAGCTGCTATGGCTGCTGCGTTGTTGATGTTGTTGTTGATGTTGATGTTGTTGATGTTGTTGTTGTTGATGTTGTTGATGTTGTTGTTGTTGCTGTGTTTGTGTGTGCCCATCAACCTGCGGGTAACATCGGGTCAAGGCCATTCCTGCACAGTGGAAAATTCTCCTTCACTCTCCCTCTCCCTCTCTCCTCTCCCTCCCTTCCTCCCCCTCGGAACTTCTCCATCCCCCTCTCTCTCTCTAGAGGGCCGAGTGGTAGTCACCAAGGAGGGGGTGAAGCTCTGCACCATGAGTCCAGGGAAGGTGTTTGGCGAGCTCGCCATCCTCTACAACTGCACCCGCACGGCCACCGTCAAGGGTGAGATTCACGATGGCCGGGTGGCTGGGTTCATGATCTCCTAGTCACTGGATTCATGATCTCAGAGTCACTGGGTTCGTGATCTCCGTGTCACTGGGTTCATGATCTCACTGGGTTCATGATCTCAGAGTCACTGGGTTCATGATCTCAGAGTCACTGAGCTCAGGATGGCTGTGTCACTGGGTTCATGATCTCCGAGTCACTGGGTTCATGATCTCCGAGTCACTGGGTTCATGATCTCTGAGTCACTGGGTTCATGATGGCTGTGTCACTGGGTTCATGATCTCCGAGTCACTGATTTCACGATGGCTGAGTCACTGGGTTCATGATCTCCGAGTCACTGGGTTCATGATGGCTGTGTCACTGGGTTCATGATCTCCGAGTCACTGGGTTCATGATCTCCAAGTCACTGGGTTCATGATCTCCGAGTCACTGGTTTCACGATGGCCGTGTCACTGGGTTCATGATCTCCGAGTCACTGGGTTCATGATCTCCGAGTCACTGGGTTCATGATCTCAGAGTCACTGGGTTCATGATCTCCGAGTCACTGGGTTCATGATCTCCGCGTCACTGGGTTCATGATCTCCGTGTCACTGGGTTCATGATCTCCGTGTCACTGGGTTCATGATCTCCAAGTCACTGGGTTCATGATGGCTGAGTCACTGGGTTCATGATGGCTGTGTTACTGGGTTCATGATCTCCGTGTCACTGGGTTCATGATCTCCGTGTCACTGGGTTCATGATCTCCGTGTCACTGGGTTAATGATCTCCGTGTCACTGGGTTCATGATCTCCGAGTCACTGGGTTCATGATGGCTGAGTCACTGGGTTCATGATCTCCGTGTCACTGGGTTCATGATCTCCAAGTCACTGGGTTCATGATGGCTGAGTCACTGGGTTCATGATGGCTGTGTTACTGGGTTCATGATCTCCGTGTCACTGGGTTCATGAGCTCCGTGTCACTGGGTTCATGATCTCCGTGTCACTGGGTTAATGATCTCCGTGTCACTGGGTTCATGATGGCTGAGTCACTGGGTTCATGATCTCCGTGTCACTGGGTTCATTATCTCCGAGTCACTGGGTTCATGATCTCCATGTCACTGGGTTCATGATCTCCGAGTCACTGATTTCACGATGGCTGAGTCACTGGGTTCATGATGGCTGAGTCACTGGGTTCATGATCTCCGAGTCACTGGGTTCATGATGGCCGGGTTGCTGGTTTCACGATGGCCGTGTCAACAACACTGAGATCCCTGGTCTGAGTTTATCTCTCTCTCTCTCTCTCGCTGAGTCTTAATTTGAAGAGAAAGAGAGAGAGAGAGAGAGATGTGGGTGCGAGAAAGTGGAGGGAGAGAGAATGTATAGACAAATAGAATATAGTGGAAGATAGAACAGGAGAGACACGGAGGGAGAGAGGGAGGAGAGGGCTGTGAGTGAAGATGTCATCGCCCTCATTGCCATGTGAGTCACGTGCAGCTACCATCAACATAAACAGAGGCACACAGAGTGGGTGAGTGGGTGAGTAGGTGGGTCAGTGGTCGATTGTTTGAGCGAGCGAGCGAGCGGGCGGGTGGATGAACGAGCGGGTGAGTGGGTAGGTGAGCGGGTGGGTGAGTGCATGAGATGGTGGGTTAGATATAGGAATAGGTTTTTACCCTTTTAACTGGCACAAAAAAAACTGACACCTTTATTCAAGGCATCGTGTTTGCAATAACCACAACACAAGCAGTCAAAATGCAAACAAAAGAGACAACTCTGATAATAATATTGGCACTGTCCTTTAATTTGATTGGTCCACACCCGAGACGGCTTTTCTTAGAGCCCCTTAGTCTCTCCATTGGTGTTGGACCAGAAGAGGCCAAAAGGCGTACAACTCAAACACAGCGCACTATCAGAGTTATTGAGGGCTCGGGGTGAGCATTTACATTATGAGACCTCCTTTGCCAGTAACAAGATATAGGAATAGGGTTTTACCCTTTTAACTGGCACAAAAAAACTGACACCTTTTGGCGTCTTCTGATCCAACACCAGTGGAGAGACTAAGGGGCTCTAAGAAAAACTCTCTCGGGTGTGGACCAATCAAATTCAAGGACAGTGCCAATATTATTATCAGAGTTGTCTCTTTTTGTTTGCATTTTGACTGCTTGTGTTGTGGTTATTGCAAACATGATGCCTTGAATAAAGGTGTCAGTTTTTTTGTGCCAGTTAAAAGGGTAAAACCTATTCTTATATCTTGTCTCTGGCAAAGGAGGTCTCATAATGGTGGGTTAGTTTGTGAGTGAGTGGGTGGGTGGGCGCACGTGCCAGTGAACGAGTGGGGTGGATGTGAGTGTGGAGAGACCAAGGTAGCCAGGCGTAGTGGTGACCACCCACCCCCTAGCGGGCGATGTCGGCCTTCATAGTTGGCGCTCGCTTCTATCAACGGTAAACAGAGACACAGAGTGGATGAGTGAGTCGGTGAGCGTTTGAGTTGGTGGATGACCGAGTTGGTTAATTATTGCATGAGCAGGTAAATGAGTGGGTGAGTTGGTGAATTAGTGGGTGAGTGTGTCTGTGCGTGGGCTGGTGATGGGCTGCGTTTGAGTTGGCAGATTGGTGAGTGGGCAAATGAATGGATGGGCGAGTGTGTGCATGGGTGAGTGTGTAAGTGAGCGAGTGGCTATGCGGGGAGTTGATTGGTGAGCGTTGCCTTCATGCGGAGACCATTAGGGAGGTAATTGTCTGTTTAAGATCTCCACTGAGGGATGACGGAGAAGAGGAGAGGGGAGACCTCTGTCAATAGACGGGTGGGAGAATGCCACTCTCCCTGTCACACTCACACGTAGATTCACACACGACGAGAGACACGCATACGCTCATAGACTAATTTATAGACTCATAGAATCGCAGACTCACTCACACACTCATACATCGAGACACGCTTAGGCTCACACACTCGTAGACTCACTCACGCACTCACACATAGAGACACTCATGCACTCGTAGACTCACACACTCATAGATTCACTGAGACACTCATAGACTTAGTCACACACACATACACTCGTACACTCACTCACTCATCGATTCAATCACAAACTCATAGGCTCACTCAGATACTTTTAGACTCAATCACACACTCATAGACTCACACACACGCACACACTGAGAGACTCACACACACAACGACACACACACTCACTCACATAGACTCAAACAAATTCATTGACTCACGCACACTGACACAGATAAACGGAAACTCTCATATGGACTCGGAGACACACACTCAGCCGCCTACTCACTCATACACCCATGCGTAACCTCACTCAGTCACCCATATACTCAACCACCCACTCGCCCAGGAACACAGACACACATATGCTCCACATACACACACTCATCCGCTCACCCATACATTCACCCAAACCACTTACGTAAATACGTAATAACACGCACACATACACCCACGCACTCACCCACTGACTCATTCACTCACCTACTCACTGGCTCACCCACTCACTCGCACAAACACCAATACATTTACTCATTCAATCACTCATTCACTCACTCACCCACACGCCCACTCACGCATTCACACACATACACACATATATACACAAATACACACCCACTCACTCACTCACCCACTCACTCACTCACCCACTCACTCACCCAAACGCCCACCCATCCATTCACATACACACACATATACACAAATACACATCCACTCAATCGCTCACTCACCCACTCACTCACTCACCCACTCACTCACCCAAACGCCCACCCATCCATTCACACACACACATATATACACAAATACACACCCACTCAATCGCTCACTCACCCACTCACTCACTCACCCACTCACTCACTCACCCACTCACTCACCCAAACGCCCACCCATCCATTCACATACACACACATATACACAAATACACACCCACTCAATCGCTCACTCACCCATTCACTCACTCACCCACTCACCCAAACGCCCACCCATCCATTCACATACACATATATACACAAATACACACCCACTCAATCGCTCACTCACCCACTCACTCACTCATCCACTCACTCACCCACACACCCACCCATCCATTCACATACATACATATACACAAATACACACCCACTCAATCGCTCACTCACCCACTCACTCACTCACCCACTCACTCGCCCACACACCCACCCATCCATTCACATACACACATATACACAAATACACACCCACTCAATCGCTCACTCACCCACTCACTCATTCACCCACTCACTCACCCAAACGCCCACCCATCCATTCACATACACACATATACACAAATACACACCCACTCAATCGCTCACTCACCCACTCACTCATTCACCCACTCACTCACCCAAACGCCCACCCATCCATTCACATACACACATATACACAAATACACACCCACTCAATCGCTCACTCACCCACTCACTCACTCACCCACTCACCCACACGAACACCCAACTATTCACATACACATATACACAAATACACACCCACTCAATCGCTCACTCACCCACTCACTCACTCACCCAGTCACTCACCCAAACGCCCACCCATCCATTCACATACACACATATATACACAAATACACACCCACTCAATCGCTCACTCACCCACTCACTCACTCACCCACTCACCCACACGAACACCCAACTATTCACATACACACATATACACAAATACACACCCACTCAATCGCTCACTCACCCACTCACTCACTCACCCACTCACCCACACGAACACCCAACTATTCACATACACACATATACACAAATACACACCCACTCAATCGCTCACTCACCCACTCACTTACTCACTCACCCACTCACTCACCCACACACCCACCCATCCATTCACATACACACATATACACAAATACACACCCACTCAATCGCTCACTCACCCACTCACTCACTCACCCACTCACCCACACGAACACCCAACTATTCACATACACACATATACACAAATACACACCCACTCAATCGCTCACTCAC